ACGACGACGTTTCGGTCCGTCCTGAACCATTCTCAAGAGTTGAGAATGGTCCAGGACGGACCGAAACGTCGTCGTCCCTTCACCTTTTAGTGTGTGGTCTGGTCAACATAATTTAGCCACGTTATTGTGACTCATCACCTGCATAGACCTATTGTATCCATATTTGCATCATACATTTAAAACCCAGACAATAATTTGTTAAATCTTCATATGATGATAACCACATTACCCTGTGAATCAACACTTGACAATAACTGCTGTCTAAGGGTTAACACCTCTAGCCTCTCCTCATAACTCTTGTTTTGCAGTTCCGGAAGCCATTTTGCAGCATGACTTTGTACCTTTCCCAGTTTATTCATGTCCTTCTAGAGATATGGGGCCAGATTCATGAAAGCACTTACGCAAGCACTTACGAACCTGTACATCTTTTCTCAATATTTGGCGGCTTTGTTTACAATTATTAAACAGTTAATGAGCTCGGAAGCACCAGGAGGCTGTTTATAACAATAACAACAGTTGATTGGCAAGTTTTCATGCTTGTAAACTGTTTAATAAATGTAACCAAAGCCGTCAATGATTGAGGAAAGATGTACAGGTTCGTAAGTGCTCTCGTGAAGCTGGTCCATGGGCACCATACAACAGCTGTATATTCTAGTTTTGGTCTCACAAAAGCCATGAACAGTTTTTTTAGTATTTCACCATCCATATAATTCAAAGCGATTATGAAGGTGGAAAGTACAGTGTCGGCTTGTAGTACAATGTCCTTTATGTGTTCCTCTGGTGGCAGTCTACTATCCAGAATCAACCCTAGATACCTTTCTTTGTTAGAGTTCTTTAAGTCCTTTCCACATAATTTGTAGGTTGTGTGTTTTCACCTGTTCCATATTCCATAATATGGCATTTATTCAGATTGAATTCCATTAGCTGCATGGTGATCCAAGCACTTATTTTTTCTAGGCAAATTTGAAGAGCATGACAATCACTTGTGTCTCCTATCTTCCATAGTATCTTAGCATCATCAGCAAACATGTTCATATAATTCTGTATTTCTTCTGGTAGATCATTTATGTAGACGATGAACATTACTGGTGCAAGAACTGAACCCTGTGGTACAGTTATTAACACTCCTCCAGTCAGATACTTTGTCTCTGATTGCTGCCCTCATTTTTCTGTCAAAAAAATTTTCATCTATGTCAGAAGTCTCCCTGTCACCCCCTCCAGCATGTTCCAGTTTCCAGAACAGCCTCTTGTGTGGGACTATCAAGAGCCTTTTCTGTGTGGAGCCCCATTCAACTCCCTGAAGCTATCCGAACTGATATTATATATCACTATATTAGTTTTATATATTAGTTCACTATATCACTATATTATATAACACTATATTAGTTTGGGGTCATCAGTCACAGGATTCCTTATGCCTACCAGGAACCATGAGACAGAACCTGGTCCTCTCAGAGAACCACAGGGAGCAATGGTCTATAGTAGTAGTAGTAGTAGTAGGCATCCATCAGTCTCAGGAGACTACGGAGTTGCGCTCTGGTTGTCGGTCTGGAGTGGCCTCACCAGGGCGCAAAGCCAGGGTAGGTTGATACAGCGGGAGAAGCTGTTACCCAGGCAGCAGGTCCCCTCTCTCCACAGCGCTGAAAGTCTCCAATGGAAAGGCAGCCGCCAATACGTTACAGTGGTCTATGAGCACTTTACATTTAAAGTATGTCATAACTGCCATCATCCGAGGAAGGATCCAGAAAGGTAGGTGAATGAAGAGAATGTATGCACTGTATGTTCCCAAAAGATCAAAATACCTTCCCTGGAAAGAAACCAAACAAACAACCCTTCATGTGACTAGCACTTCCACTCGTTAGTGCTACTCAGGGAGCCGGGAGCCCACTAGATCTTGAACTGATATGGCGGCAGTCAGCTCATTCACCTCTGGCCTCAAGTTCTTGTTCTGGATTTTTGCCCTGTGTGGCTGTTCCACCTGTGTGTTCAGCCCATCCTCCTAAGGTTTCCTAACACCAAGAAAATGGTCAAATTAAAGTGTCCTCTCCTAACCTACCAGAGGACCGAAAACAGAAAATGGGACAGTACGTAGCTTTTGCGAGCTGCTTCCATTTTCTAATACAAATATTTTTTACCTTATGTAACGCATATGATTAAAATGCAACGTTCTTTGTAAGAGGACAGGTTGGTGTGTTGGTGTAGTGGCCAGGTGTGTTTAGTATACAGGAGCAGCATGCACCTAGGGTGACTTTCCCTAGATGCTCCATATCTACTGCCCTTGCGTGTCAGGGTAGAAACTATCTAGTTTCCTCTTGAAGATGTCCATTGTTGTTCCGGCAATATTTCTTATGCTCGCTGGGAGTATGTTGAGCAATCGTACACCTCTGATGTTTATACAGTGTTCTCTGATTGTGCCTATGGCACCTCTGCTCTTCACTGGTTCTATTCTGCATTTTCTTCTATATCGTTCACTCCAATATGTTGTTATTTTACTGTGCAGATTTGGGACATGGCCATCCAGTATTTTCCACGTGTATATTATTTGATATCTCTCCCGTCATCTTTCTAGCGACAGACTAGTTGATGGCAATTATGACATTTTAAATGTAAAGTGATCATAGATCACTTTACATTTAAAGTGATCTATGATCACTTACAGCTCCCTACACCTCTGAGAAAACCGGTTCTGGGTCATGGTTCCCGGTAGGCATAAGAACTCCTGTGACTGATGATCCCAAACTAATATAGCACATATCAGTTCGGATAACTTCAGTGAGCCTCCGGGGGCTCACACAGAAAATTGGGTTTCATTACATTCAATGCTGTTTTTTAAGATCCAGATATATGCAGTCAACCCAACCATCTCTTTCCTGTAGAATTGCTGTAGCTCTATCATAAAAACTAAGTAGATTTGTTACACAGGATCAAGTACACACGCTTGTGCACACAAACAAGTAAGACTTGTCTGTGTGCACATGTAATGGTCAAATAATTTGCAGCATGTGCAAAATAGCCCCATTGAAATGCAGAGGTCCAACAGGTACTCAGAGAGAACTCTATCAACCTCAAAGGCCTGAGACTGTTCAACATGCTTCCACTATACATAAGGGGCATAACTGGCCAACCCCTCAAAGGGAATTAGTCAAACACCTCCAAAGGATACTTGTTCAACCAGGCTGCGATTCATGTGTCAGACTGAGAGCAGCCGTGTCCAAAAATCTGGTTGACCAGACCACCAACCAAGAGGCCTAGTTAGAGGCTGGGCCACGAGGGCATTGATCCTCGGAATCACCGCAAGGTAAGATAACTAAGGAAGAGGGGAGTTCGCAGGGGACCAAAGGAGGGGAGTTTCCAAAAGGACCAGAAAAGGAAGGCTCCCAGAGGGAACAAAAGAGGGGGAGTTACCCAGAACAAGGAGATTTTGCAGTGGGAGTATTGGAGGAGAGTTCCAAGACAGAACAAGGATGTAGAATTCAGAGTGGGAACAATGAAAGGGATTTCCCATGTGGAACAAGGGAAGGGAGTTCCCATGTGGAACAAGGGAAGGGAGTTCCCATGTGGAACAAGGGAAGGGAGTTCCCATGTGGAACAAGGGAAGGGAGTTCCCATGTGGAACAAGGGAAGGGATTTCCCATGTGGAACAAGGGAAGGGATTTCCCATGTGGAACAAGGGAAGGGAGTTCCCATGTGGAACAAGGGAAGGGAGTTCCCATGTGGAACAAGGGAAGGGAGTTCCCATGTGGAACAAGGGAAGGGAGTTCCCATGTGGAACAAGGGAAGGGAGTTCCCATGTGGAACAAGGGAAGGGAGTTCCCATGTGGAACAAGGGAAGGGAGTTCCCATGTGGAACAAGGGAAGGGAGTTCCCATGTGGAACAAGGGAAGGGAGTTCCCATGTGGAACAAGGGAAGGGAGTTCCCATGTGGAACAAGGGAAGGGAGTTCCCATGTGGAACAAGGGAAGGGAGTTCCCATGTGGAACAAGGGAAGGGAGTTCCCATGTGGAACAAGGGAAGGGAGTTCCCATGTGGAACAAGGGAAGGGAGTTCCCATGTGGAACAATGAAAGGGAGTTGCCATCTAGAACAAGGGAAGGGAGTTCCCATGTGGAACAAGGGAAGGGAGTTCCCGTGTGGAACAAGGGAAGGGAGTTCCCGTGTGGAACAAGGGAAGGGAGTTCCCGTGTGGAACAATGAAAGGGAGTTGCCATCTAGAACAAGGGAAGGGAGTTCCCATGTGGAACAAGGGAAGGGAGTTCCCATATGGAACAATACATTGAAGAATAAAAATCAATAGGCAGAAACATACACTCAATTCTGAGTATCTACAAAAGTTCAGACATATCTCTACATATGCAGAATGTTCGGTGCAGATACTGTACTTCATATATTCATGAATATACCTGAGCTTATTAAATAATTAGTAAATGATGGTATTACTCTATTTAACAATCTATTCCAAGTATTAAGAACTCCTCAAAGCACACTTTCCATTTTTTTGACTTTGCTGGAGATTTTTCAATCAACATTACTGTGAAGAAAAGAGGTAGTGAGAACAGAAAAAAAATAACAAAGTCAAGATACTGAATTTTAGGTTTAATAATAGACTGGATGAGTGTGTCATACAAGACTACTGTTACTTTGAAATGTAAAAAGTTACAACAAATTTGAAGGAGCAAAAGTATAGGCACTGGATTACTTTCAGATGCCTGCACATATACAAGACCCAGCCATGTGATACTACTACAAGAATGCTAGTGAAGATTAAGCATTAATTTACAGTATTTTCTATTAGTCCAAATTTAATATTACTGGAAAAACTATTATGCAGAACTTTTAAACACCAAAGCTTTCTTGATATGAGCAAATATTTACCAATCATCTTCGATGACACTTATCTACTACTGTATTGTACTTACAAGTAGTTGTTTAGTACTAGTATGACAAAAATAGAATCAGGTAGTTGTTTAAGTACTAGTACGAAAAAAATAGAATCATACTTACTCGCTCTCCGTTTCAGCCACTGTACATTTATACTGAGCCGTTGAAAATAGGCATATGTCCGCAAACTGCCGAACTGAAAATAACAAAACAAGATTTGAGCAAAATTGAAAGTACTTTTGTGAGCAAGTCACCCAAGTGCTATCTAAGGAAAGACCCTCCTTGCACCAACACAGGTTCTTGCTTAGTGAAGACAGCTCTACAATCTGCCACTGTGAATAATACATCTTTTCAAACACTCCCTGAATCATACTGATGCTAAGCAAGTAGTGAATATAACTCAGAATGACTGTTAAAAAATAGAGCAGTCCAAAAATCTTAAAGCTCTTCTAAACATTAAAGGGTAACGTAAGGTGCTACAATTAGCAGTCTATTAAATGACTGGCTGCTCTGTCTAGCTACTACACCAGACCACCGCCAGATGGCAGCACTGAACACACACACACACTCTTTGTGAAACACACACTCTTTGGTCCTCGGGACCAAAGAGCCAGAGCTCAACCCCCGCAAACACAACTAGGTGAGTACACAGGCAACCCAGTTTACTCCCCGAGGGCTGGAAGCAACCAATTCACTTGATCTAAAAAGGGCTCTTAATTTGACTCAAAGCCTGAATACATCACAATGGTTGTGATCCCATAATAATGGTTGTACTCTTCAAATCACTTGTGTTGTCCCGTCTTGAGTACTGTTCAGTACTCACTTCCCCCTTCAGAGCAGGAGAGATTGCTGAAATAGAGGGAATACAGAGAACTTATACGGCACACATAGACGAGATAAAGCACCTAAATTATTGGGATCGTCTCAAAGCCCTCCAAATGTATTCACTAGAAAGGACACGAGAGAGATACAAAATAATATACACATGGAAAATACTGGAGGGCCAAGTACCAAATCTACACAGTAAAATAACAATGTACTGGAGTGAACGATATGGAAGAAAATGCAGGATAGAACCAGTGAAGAGCAGAGGTGCCATAGGCACAATCAGAGAACACTGTATAAACATCAGAGGTCCACGGTTGTTCAACGTCCTCCCAGCGAGCATAAGAAATATTGCTGGAACAACAGTGGGCATCTTCAAGAGAAACCTAGATTGTTTCCTCCAAGGAGTGCCGGACCAACCGGGCTGTGGTAGGTATGTGAGCCTGCGGGCCGCTCCAAGCAACAGCCTAGTGGACCAAACTTTCACAAGTCAAGTCTGGCCTCGGGCCGGGCTTAGGGAGTAGAACAACTCCCAGAACACCATCAACCAGGTATCAACCAACCAGAGGTATGATCTTCAACCACTAAGGCAAGCCTCCATAGGGAGACAGAAACAATATGCACAAAACTTAAATACAGGAATTTAATGCATCTGGGGTACAGAGTGGTAGAAGAGTAAGCTGGGGACATGAACGTCTAACTTTCCTGGACCCAAACCCCACCAGTAAAAAAATGTGATTGTGAAGAGAGCCTGACCCCACATGATACACCAGAGATGGCGGCTGACGAACATCAGCAGGATCTGGGCTCCTGCTTAACAGATGGTTATAAACACGAACAAAGCCACAAGGGCCGTGATGAGGGTTCGAACTTACGCCCGGGATGATCCAAGACGCTGCCCTTAGTCGACTAGGCCACGACATTTCATTTGATGCATCACGCTATTGTGATTTCTGTGGTTATAAACATGATCCGATTAAGCACACACCTGTTGGGACAGGTGTGTGCTTAACACAAGCCAGGCAGTTAGACCCTTAACCAAGCCAGGTACTTAAGTGAAGGAGTAACAAGCAATTTGCTCAGAAATAAATATTTACAAATATTGTAGTCCACAGCTTTGAGAACAGGAAGGTTCAAATAGTGTACAGTATATGAAATTTAGTTTTTATAAATGCAGAAATATTAAATCAGTATCAACATTATCATTCATCACTCCTTAATACCCAAACTCTCCATTAATGGGACAGCAAGGTACCACCAGGATGGACTGGAAAAGAACTGGAAGATAAGATTAAAGTTACATACTGAGATATCTGATTTCCATTATTTTTCAAATTTGTGTACATGTGCAGATGAAGGGAAATTACGAGGAAAGTCCAGTCATAGACGGGACTGACATTAGACACATTAAAGTCAACTGATCTATTACAAGCATTATACATGAACTTAATATTGTACAGTAAAAAAGAAAAATCTTCATATACAGCATTTATTACACAGAAATATGCTCTCAGCTGAGCTGTTCCCCAATCTGTTCTCCCTTCACTTTACTACTCTCTACTTTCTCCCAACCTAACATATGGTGTCTGTGCATGGAGTTCAACTACTGTAAATCACCTGAAGCCCATCATCACCCAGCAAAAATCTGCCATCCGAATTGTAACAAACTCTGTCTTCAGACAACACACAGCCCCTCCGTTTAATTCCCTAAAACATTCTAAGCATACACTCACTCCACACATTCTCTTGTGCTATTTACATGTACAAAAACTCGTTCCTAAATGCTAATCCTGATCAGAAACACTTCTTGTATGTAATAGGACCCAAGAGAACCACACCAGATATAAATCTCTCTTTGATATCACTAGTCAGACTGAACCTGTGCAAACACTCCATGCAAAACAAGGGCCCAGTCTATGGAACTCCCTTCCTGATGAATTAAAAAATTCTCTAACCTATGCTTTACTCAAAAATAAAACCAAAAAGTACAAAAAAAAGTGTGTAGTTTCAAAACGTTATACGACAAAGAGTGCTGGGAAGACGGGACACCACGAGAGTAGTTCTCATTCTGTAACTACACTCAGGTAATTACACTCAGGCATCTACACTCCAGCAATCATCCACAGCAGCAACCCGCTGCTACCTAAGTCCACATACAAAAACTAGTACTGCAGAAAGAATGAAAGATAACACCATACAAGTTCCCTAGCTGCATAACATTCTTTAAAACCATATTTTCAATAAAGTTGCTTCCAATTACAAAGTTACACACCACTTACTTGATACTTTAATTTTCTTGACGCTCTTATTAGAATTATTCTGTATATGGACATTAACGGCTACTGTTTCTCCATGATAATATAACTGGAAAGCAAAATGCAAGATATCAGATGATGATAACAAAGAATATGGCTACTCATCTAACCATGAGATTTTTATTTCAAAGTATCTAAAGAAGTAATCTGCTTGGAAGGGTTATGACAATGTAAAAATAATTATATACATTACTAGAGAATACTAAAGATACACTTCTATACCTCTTTGTCTAAAGATGCTTCGAGATGAAGTTTGTTGGGAGACATCATGAACTCTTTGCTGACCTCAACACTGGGCTGGTCTCCCTGCTTCATGGGAGCATACATAACCTTCCTAATTGCAAGCCGCACTGAATTCCTATAAAGAATTAGCAAGCCTTAGCTATATGTACAGATAGTGTAAATGTAAAGCATATATATATCCTGCTGTTCAACATAGCAGGAACTTTAAGTATACCTGGAGTGTGTTTCGGAAGTTCTTCGACTCCGTCAGCCGAGTGGACAGCACGCTGGACTTGTGATCCTGCGGTCCTGGGTTCGATTCCAGGCGCCGGCGAGAAACAATGGGCAGAGTTTCTTTCACCCTATGCCTCTGTTACCTAGCAGTAAAATAGGTACCTGGGTGTTAGTCAGCTGTCACGGGCTGCTTCCTGGGGGTGGAGGCCTGGTCGAGGACCGGGCTGCGGGGACACTAATAAAGCCCCGAAATCATCTCAAGACAACCTCAAGATAACCCTGAGCCCGGCCCGACTTGTGATAACTTGGTCCAACAGGCTGTTGCATGGAGCAGCCCGCAGGTGCACTTATCCACTACAGCCTAGTTGGTCTGTCACTTCTTGCAAGAACCTTTCCAAGTGCTTCTTGAATACATCCACCTTCGTTCCAGCAATATTTCTAATGCTTGCTGAGTGTGTGATAATCAGCTGTGGACCTCTCATGTTCTGATAGTGATTTCTGGTTATGCCTATGGCACCTCTACTCCTCAATAGTGCTATTCTGCATTTCCTTTACACTCGCTATGCTTTACAAAGAACAGTTCATCAACATGTTGCTCACTATAATTGGGTACAGTTATACCACATCCTTCACATAATATTCAGAGTATGGATCTCTGCAAATTTCAGTAACAAGAAACAATTATTGTTCAGTACAGTATTAGAGAATATGTAACAATAGTGTGGATGAAAATAAATAGTCCAACTCACACACGAAAACATAGGCAAGCGACGGCAGTTGTAACTTTGGCATTTCGTCTTGTCCTGTACTCTTATAGAGTTGCTAATACAGTGCTGTACTGTCACTTTCCTTTCATTTCATGTGTGTGTGTGTGTGTGTGTGGGGAAAGGTTGGATCATTTAGTATTCTGTACTGTAGCAATTTGTTGTATTTTGATGAGGAATTTGTTATATTTGCACACTTTTTGCTTCATGTTTTCTATGAGTAAATCCAAAAGGTAATTTACAAATTTTAGAGAAATTCTTCTTCTATTTGTCAATATATATTTAATGTGTTATTTGTTTTCAAAATAATACACTGTATGAAGATGCAAATAACAGTATGCTATATCAAAATGAATTCTTTGAGAAAACTACTCGAGCATCCCTGAGGCACATACTATATTACAAATAAATACACACTGCTAATCAAACTGAATGGCAAATACAGTATCTACTTGAAATGATATAGTTCAGCCACAGTAGATCAAAATGAGGACATTTGATATATAGTTCAGCCACAGTAGATAATTTTGTCGAGTACGATGAGACCGAAATCATGTCTGCCTCCCCAGACACGTGCTTGACCAACACACCCGCGATGAGCTAAAAGTACAGTATCACGACCACTAGTTCTACTCATCTCGTGAGGCCTTTGGAAGTTACCTAGCAGGTAGCCACAATCCAAGTTTTACATAATACCCCTACTCACACCCTGGGGTACATAATGACATACCACTATAATGCTCAAAAGAGTTTCATAGTGATATGTCATTGTTATTTTGGTTAGTACAGTATATAAAAAAATGTCTAAACATTTAACTGTATCAAGATATATTATGAAGAACAAACTTTTTATTTAACATTTAAAAAAAACACCATCAGCAAATCATTTACAGTTTAATATAGTACTGCATTGACAAATGCAAATGAAAGCAGAATATGGGACTGTTATTTCAAAATTTTAGCCGAGCCTACCTTTTATGAGGTTTGTCATCGACACTGTCCCCAACATATGCCTTAAGTTCATAGTCAACCCCACAGGGTTTGCCCATGTCCCCCGGTGCAGGCTGCAGCGTGACCGACGCTGGGCAGTGAGGGGGAAGCTCAAAGAAGAACGGAAAGGCATTTGGTCCTAATTTCTTGATGAGGCGTTCCTGAAAAAAAATGCCACGAAACTTAGCTTTTCAATTTGGTCCCTGACCAAACTTCTTCACGGAAATTGTTAAGCATATATAAATAATTCACAATACTTAAGCAGGATCATTTAGACCTACAGTTTCTAAAGAAGGTGGGGGATTGTTTATTTTCAAAAAGAGAGGTTGGGGAAAATTGCTTATTTTCATAGATAAGGAGGGGGTATTACTCATTTCTTGGTCGCTGAATGATGGGATGGTTACTCACTCCCATGTGGATAAGGTGAGGAACACTACTCACTCCCACATGGATAAGGTGAGGAACACTACTCACTCCCACATGGATTAGGTGAGGAACACTACTCACTCCCTCGTGGATAAGGTGGGGAACACTACTCACTCCCACATGGATAAGGTGAGGAACACTACTCGCTCCAAAGTGGATAAGGTAGGGAACACTACTCACTCCCACGTGGATAAAGTGAGGAACACTCACTCACTCCCACGTGGATAAGGTGAGGAACACTACTCACTCCCACATGGATAAGGTGGGGAACACTACTCACTCCCACATGGATAAGGTGAGGAACACTACTCGCTCCAAAGTGGATAAGGTAGGGAACACTACTCACTCTCACGTGGATAAGGTGAGGAACACTACTCACTCCCACATGGATAAGGTGGGGAACACTACTCGCTCCAAAGTGGATAAGGTAGGGAACACTACTCACTCCCACATGGATAAGGTGAGGAACACTACTCACTCCCACATGGATAAGGTGAGGAACACTCACTCACTCCCACATGGATAAGGTGAGGAACACTCACTCACTCCCTTAGCATTAGGATACCAAGACAAAGGCATCAAGACACACACAACTTACAGTACCTGTAACCTAGTGAGGGCCCTCTTGCTGGCAGTGTCAAGGGGAAAGATCTGCTCTGACGCTAGGTACAGGTCCTTGCGAAATGTGAGGCCCAAAACATCCAGGTCTTCGCGGCCATACCGAAAGGCAGATAAGACATGTCCATATACCTTTCTGTCCTTCAGATACTCGGGGTCGATCAACACTACACCATCTGCAAAGTCAACACAGTTGGTTAACACTAGTGTGCATGGTAGAAGGCTGTTGCATGCGTGCATGCATGCACGTACACATGTGCGTTTTGATTTTTATGATTAAAGTTAGCATTAGAACGTTTGTGTGGTTAAGCCTATGCCATGTTTCCATGCAAGAGCTCTATGGCTGTTGAGGTTAAGAAATCATGCCCTAGAAATGCACAAAATATCTACTTTTGTTGCAATGTCTATTTCTCTATTGTTTTCCCAGCACTGACTAAAACACTTGATCAATCAAGCTGTTGTAAATCTGCAAAGACTAAACACTAAAAATGACATACTGCATGTTGAGCACAGAAATCATTTCCTATTCTCGTTCTCTCCCCAAATACCTCCCCATTTTCAACGGATTTTGGTGCGGGATAGGTGGGTTGATAGGTTAGGTTGGGGGATAGGTGGGTTGACTGGGTTTGTATGTTTCTGGTTAGGTAAAACAGTTGCATTTGTTACGTAGTGGCAACTCATGAGCCCGGGTTGTCCTATTACAGTACTTCCACTTTATGAAACATCCTACCAACCAAAAATACACATTTTAATATATCTTAAATACATAACCAAAGGCCGAGCCATTGGTGAGACAAAGGTCAATCAACCTCCTAATAGACTGTGTATAAATAGTGGTTGCTTACTGGTAAGACCTATCGTACCTATTGGTCTGGGAGCTTGTCTATTGGTAAGACAACCTACCTATTGGTCTGGGAGCTTACCAATCGGTAAGAATATAAGAAAGAAAAGACTTACCTATCAGTAAGACAACTTACCTTACGAGAAGAGAACATACCTATTGGGTCTACGTGTGTGATGTGGTCAACAAAGTCTCTCTTCCCTAAGTAGACGGTGATTTTTCCATTCGGAGAACTTTTCTTAAATACTCTGAAAGGAGACATACCGATTATATGGCTGCATTATGGCCTTGCAACTGATTGTACGGATGTGTACAATCATCACTTGCAACACATTGTTTGTGAGGTGCTCAATAACACAACATCTTCCAGCAGATGCTCAATAACAGCAGCTTTCATCAGATCAACAATAGTACAGTATCCTATGTGAGATCAATAACAGCAGCTTTCATCAGATCAACAATAGTACAGTATCCTATGTGAGATTAATAACAGCATCCAATAACACAGGATCTTCCATGAGATGAATAACGTCTTTCATGAGATCATTAATTACATCATTAACCTTCACAATTACATATAGTTTAAGAGATCAGTTACACAACATACTTGATGAGATTAATTACACAGCATCCTACAGCAGACATACAAGAAATGTCATGTTTTGACAAAGGATCCCTGTTAATGAGTAATCCCTAACATACTAAAAACAGCAGAGATAGCACCACTCCATAGAGGAGGAAATAAGGCAGAGGCAAAAAATTACAGACTGATAGCACTAACATCACACATCATAAAAATCTTTGAGTGTGCACTGAGAAGTAAGATCACAAAATACATGGAATCACAGCATCTCCATGACCCTGGACAATATGGGTTCAGAACAGGGTGCTCTTGCCTGTCACAGTTGCTGGATACTATGACATGGCATTACATGCCAAGGAAGACAAACAAAATGCTGATGTAATTTACACAGACTTTGCAAAAGCCTCTGACAAATGTGACCATGGTGTTATTGCACACAAAAATGCGTACAAAAGGAATTACCGGAAAAATAGGCAGATGGATCTACAATTTCATGACTAACAGAACCCAATGTGTAATAGTCAACAAAATAAAATCCGGACCATCAACCGTGAAGAGCTCAGTCCCCCAGGGCTTGCTCCAATACTTTTTCTCATCCTCATATCGAACATAGATAAGTACACAATCTATAATAATGTATCATCCTTTGTAGATGACACTAGGATTTTCATGAGAGTAGACAACATAGAGGACATGGCAAACCTCCAATCAGATGTAAATCAGGTCTTTCTATGGGCTACAGAAAATAATATGGTGTTTAACGAAGGCAAGTTTCAGCTCATGCGCTATGGAAAAAATGAAAATATAAAATCAGAAACCACGTACAAAATGCAGTCAAATCATAACATAGAACGAAAAAGCAATGTAAAGGATCTGGGTGTACTCATGTCGGAAGACCTTACCTTTAAAGAACACAATAAAGTAGCCGTCACAAATGCAAGAATTTGTGACGGCAAGACAGGTTTGATAACAAGAACTCTTCACACTAGAGATGCTGTATCGATGATGATACTTTTCAAAACGCTTGTGCTCTCTAGAGTGGAGTACTGCTGCACAATGACAGCACCTTTCAAAGCTGGAGAAATTGCTGACCTAGAGAGCGTGCAGAGATCCTTTACTGCTAGAATCCACTCAGTAAAACATCTAAACTACTGGGACCGACTAAAGAGCCTAAATCTGTATTCCCTTGAGCGCAGGTGGGAGAGATACATAATAATCTATACGTGGAAAATAATTGAGGGGCTGGTCCCAAACCTGCACACAGAAATAACATCACATGAGACCAGAAGACATGGCAGGATGTGCAGAATACCCCCGTTGAAAAGCAGAGGTGCAACAGGTACTCTGAGAGAGAACTCTATCAACATCAGAGGCCCGAGACTGTTCAATACGCTTCCACTACACATAAGGGGCATAACTGGCCGACCCCTCACTGTGTTCAAGAGAGAACTATCAACATCAGAGGCCCGAGACTGTTCAACACGCTTCCACTACACATAAGGGACATAACTGGCCGACCCCTCACAGTGTTCAAGAGAGAACTATCAACATCAGAGGCCCGAGACTGTTCAACACGCTTCCACTACACATAAGGGACATAACTGGCCGACCCCTCACTGTGTTCAAGAGAGAACTATCAACATCAGAGGCCCGAGACTGTTCAACACGCTTCCACTACACATAAGGGACATAACTGGCAGACCCCTCACAGTGTTCAAGAGAGAACTATCAACATCAGAGGCCCGAGACTGTTCAACACGCTTCCACTACACATAAGGGTCATAACTGGCCGACCCCTCACAGTGTTCAAGAGAGAACTATCAACATCAGAGGCCCGAGACTGTTCAACACGCTTCCACTACACATAAGGGACATAACTGGCCGACCCCTCACAGTGTTCAAGACTTTTTTTTTTTTTATTAAATACAGCATTTTACAAAATATGCAGACACCCGCAACTTATAAATTGCAGTATGTACTCTTCAATTACATGAATATAAAATTTATTCACCATCTGGTGCATTGAGTGGATAGTCTTAATACTGGAGATCATAATTGATCACATGGTAGAACGGCAACTGCGGACTTTGGTTTAGAGTACATAACAGACCTTAAGATTATCAGCAAGTAACCAGCAGAGAGGTTACTCCAGACTTTCCAAAGTCCAAAATTGTGAGTGAAGAATCAGCTGGCAGGAGCTTAATATTGAGGTGTGACTACAACAGAATTGAGCCAAAAATGGATAATGGCTTATCAGCCCGTAAAATAAGTCTGTACTGTTTATGAAACATCGTGAAGCTGTGGCTACAGTGCCACTTAATGCACGTAACTGTGAAGAATAAAGGCTACAGTACTTCCCAGTTAAGATGACAATAACAAAAGGATAAAACAAAAGCTCTGTGATATAGGTGTAATGCCATGTGATAGTAGCACTACCTGGAGCACAAGTCACTTGTAGACAATCAAATATTTAAGGTAATTTTTGCCAAGAGATTTTGTCAAGACTAAAGCAAGTTCCCAGTACTGGACTTGAACATGTCTTGTGTACCGTACTCTTAGTGTAGATTAATGTCTTGAAGTATAATTTGGAATTAAGACGTGTACATAGGCCTTTTAATTTATACTTTCTTGAACAGAGTTCAGTTACAATATTTGCCGAAAGTATACTGGGATTTTGTTTTCTTATGGAAGTCTATCGACTACAATTCTCCCATCCCCATCATTTATCCCCCACCCCCAAATTTATCATCGATGTGGATATCATTCATTACGTATAATTACTGGTACTGTTAAGTTGTGATGTTATGGCTTAAGATTATTGTAGGATGAACCAAAATACTGTCATTTTTATTTCATGTTTGGGTTGGGTTATTTGTTTCAGCCACATTACTGCAACATTCTCCATCTAATGACGATGTATACATAAGGTGTTGTATTAAGGAATGAAATGGGAAATAGAATACCTGAGAATCTTTTTTTTGAGAAAGGTGAAAAAGGATGAAATAAATAGATCATAAAGTTGTAACAGATTATCAGCATCGTGGAAGAGCATGGTACAATATATGAAACCGTGGGGTGGATGGGGTTACAGAGCTTGATTGATTGAAAGATTTGTCTGGTTTTAAAACCTTTGGAGAAACTTGTCCTGCGGCCACCACTTGATGGGGTGTTGGAGGGAGGGAGTAGGACATTGGGAATATATAAACTGTATAGAGGGAATTGTTGAGTTTAGATTTAAAGATCAAATGTAATCAAATATTAAATTTCTTATAAATTTGTATATAGCAATTCCATTTTTATAACAATAAGCAGTATTTTGAATATTACTACATTTTAACTGCAGTTTGTGATATTTCAATTTGCCGTGTACGGTACGGTAAGTTTCTCTACATTATTGTACTGACAATGTACAGAAATGCCAAGTTAGAGTACACTTTATTGAACGTAACAATTTGCCTGTGAGAGGTCAACAAATTGGAGAGATACGTAAGCCTAACAGCTTCTAGACCAGCAAGGTAAGGTTAAGGTGTGATGCACAAATGGAGATGATTTAATATATAACAATTTATATTTCTTTCCCAGTAACAATTAAGCAAGTGGGGTGGCAATACCAAATTTTCCTCGAGTGTGTTTGATGGTTGTGGTGTGTTGACTGTAGACTATCTTATATAAATATGAATATACTTTATATAAATATATAGTACAGTACAGTATATAAATATACTTTATCACAATTCCTTCAAGGTAATATTGTTGCTTGTTACTTTGGTTTCTGAGGAGTATTGATAGTGGTTCAATTTGATAAAAATAGAGGACTCTCATTCACTGAACATTGTGGTGCATTGAGACAACATATCGTAACCATTGCTTGGCTTGGTTTTACTTACCAAAATACAAAAAAAAAATGGGGGGAGGGGAGCAACAAAAATGGCTTTAAGAAATGTATTCCAAATGAAAGGGGTAACAGTGAACAGAGGAAAGGAAATCTAGCACCCTATTAAGAGACCAAGATGGCTCAGAAGCATCATGAGCCAACCGAAGTTGAAAGAAGGCACGAGACAACTTCAGAGATGGTGCTGAGAAAACGACGATGCCAAACGAGAGCAGTAGCTTTGTCAAGACCAAATAACAACAGGCAGCAGTATTAGATATAAGATACTGATCAACAAGTAAGACAAAAAAGACAAAACCACTGAAAGAGAGGAAAAGAGGGGGTGGCAGAGGCAAAAGGAGTGCTAAGAAACGTCATACTGCCACCCCAACGAAATACTGTCGCCCACTCGGGGCGACAGTATGACATATCGAGTATATCATCTCGATCACCTGCACACCATACAAATGGCAATACTCGTGTCAAAGTCCAGATGCGGAGAAAGTCAGTCCAGGGGGTATGTCATCAGGCCAATTTGCTGAAAGAGGCAGAGCAGCAGCAAAAGAAAAAAAAAAAATGCTCAGGTTCAGACACCGAGCCAGAAAACAAGATTGAGGCAGCCACGGAGGACCCAGAAGGATCACCTATCCCGACTACATCTCCAACCTGGACAACACCGGGAGCAACAGGTCGATCGTTGTACCTGAAAGGCATTTATTGCAAGAACCTCATGATTGCAGAATGGAGGCACGTAGAGGAGATGCTGGTTCCATGCCGATGCAAAGGAGTCCATC